CAATGGGGAGGTGAATATCATCTATGCATTGTACACATGTATGAAAATATCATAATGAAACCCATCATTAATATACACTAATGAAAGCATTTTTAACCAGGTTTTCACATGCCAATCATGGAAACAAGCAAAGCTATGAAAGATTAGCTGCTTGTATATGCTCCTGTTGTGGCATGAGACTTGGCTTGTGTCTGTAGGAGAAGTGCAAAGAACCAGTTACCCAGTGAGTTTCAGAAAGGAAGATTTCTCAGACCTTGTATTTCAAGAAGGGAAGAGCACCAGCATGTTGATGATTGAAGCATATGTGGCATATTCAGCAAACACTTGTTCAATTTTGCTCTGTAACCAATGAGTTACAAAAATCATTTCTGCTGAATTGGAATACTCCTATCCATTCTCAAGTCACATGCTGGATAAATAGGTGACAAGTTTCAGTAGAACACAGAGTGCTTCTCACTACTAATAAGTAAAGGGAGCTCACAAGGAATTGAATTCTTGGTTTGTTTTAGTAAATTAAAACATACTTTGGAGGGTTAGTAATTGAAAATGTCTAGTGACATAATTCTCATTTTCTCTTTTTATGTCATTTATTTCCTATATTCTCATCTTATACCGATGGGGATGCCCTTCTGTATATATGTTTCTCTTATTGGTTGATGGATAAAACACTGGTTGGCTGATTGGCCAGGCAGAAAGTATAGGCAGGGCTAGGAGATGAGGAGAGTTCTGGGATACATAGGTAGACGGGTCATCATGTAGAGTCTGGGAAGAGAGGACACGCAAGGCGTTCTTGGGTAAGCCAAGACCATGTGGAAATGGTTAATAATTAAGACAGAGCTAGCCAACAAGAAGTCTAAGCCACCGGCCAACAGTTTTAAAATTAATATAAGTCTTGTGTGTTTATTTGGGGCTCTCAAGGGTGGCAGGACCCTGCCAGGACAAAGAACCTCTTATTGCCCTGAAAAACAACAGTAATGATATTGTAAATGCTATTATGGGATTAACGATGTAACTATTTGACAGCAAGGATGCTTCCCTTCTCCCACCCCAATCCTTTTTTGGTGTTTCAAAAGTGGAACTACAGCTTGGTTTGAAATTTGTACTGTTTCTATTACTAATAAAGTTATGGCTTCTTGTTGGATGGGAAAAAAAAGAACCTCTCATTACATTATACCATTGCATAGATTTCCACAGATAGAGACCACCCATTTAAACACACCAGAATCCCCTACTGTGATGTCATGAGACAGGCTAATAAGGTTTTATAGGATATAGTTAAGTTCCCAGGATGCAATTTGATCCTCGGTGTATCAAACCCTAAGGAGTGAGTTATATTAGAGTGGTGTTCTACTGAATTATGCCCTCCATTTCATAAGGGCAACATGTTTATCTCAATCCAAGGTAAAGAGAAAACTGAAACGCTTCCATAAAAGGAAAGCAAATTAAGATATCACTTAACACCTACTCTCATCAAGGTGCTATGAATATAAAATATATGTCCTTCCCTGAAGAAGCTTAAAGATTACAGGGAAAAGTAGACATGAAACCCAGAAATGGGAAGGGCATTGACATTTACCAAGTGCGTGTTCAGCCCCAGGTATGGCATGCCTTCCAACTGAACTCTTGCGTCAACAACAACAGTTCCTAGTCCATGTTCATGCTCAAGTGAGTAAAATGAGCCTCAGAAAGCTTGCTGAACATGGACTTTACTCCAGTGCCTGTGATCTTTCAATAGAAACGGGGTACAAACTAGAGGTGAGAATAGCATGCAGTGAACATGTTAAACATAGAAGACATGAGGGATTCTGAGTTGGACCACAGAGAACATGAAATTTCAGAGACCCAGGGATGAACCAACTCTACTCATCAGTTTATCTGCTTTAATTTTTTAGTCATGTTTATTATTTATCTATTTATTTTCTGTGAAAGTATGTAGGCACACATGTGAAATGACACACATGTAGAAGTCAGAGGAAAACTCATGAGAATTATTTCTCTCCTTCAGTTATGTGGACCCAGGGATGGAACTCATGTTGTCAGTCTTGGCAGCAAGCATCTTTACCCATTGAGCCATCTCACCAATCCTCTACCCATCCATTCAAACACAGCCAAAATCTGTTCATTCCCCCGCTCTTGTAACACAAAAACCAATTTCTTTTCAATATAGTTTTAATAACCTTTACATTAAATATCTATTTTGTCATGTGATCTTTTCTGTGCCTTGGCTATTTTTTTGTCCTTTCTCTGTATGTTTAAATCAAAATCACACAGGTCCCAGGACTCTAAACAATGTATTTTCTCTAGGGATCAATCAATTACTATTGAAAGACCCGCTCGAAATGCCCCTGAGCCCCCTGCCCCGAAGCTGCCGGGGCCTCCCAAGCCTTCACCCCGGCAGGGCTCGCGCCCCCGGCCCGCCCCGCCTGGCACC